CCTCACCCATTTAGTTCCCTTCATACCGTTATAGTCGTAAAAAGTCACCTTTACTACCAGTTTTGTCAGTCTCAAAATGCTAGAAAGTGAAATAGGTATCACAGAATTTGGGGATCTTCAGCCTGCCGTTTCTAGCTTGTGTTTCTTGGACTTCTGTTCTTTTTTGGCCCTGAAGCCAAGCCTGGTGAAATCAACGGGAGTTTGACAACCATCTCAGCTGTGTACTGGGTTCAACCTCACACCTTCAATGAGAACTGGACTACAGTGGAGACCCTTAAAATTGACAAGTTACAACCAGGGAGTGACATGTTCTTGTAAAAATGCAGAAGAGGTCTGTTTTACAGAGATAATGAACACTGGAGAATTACTTTCTCTTTTCACAGCAGATTTTCCACATGCACACACATACATACATATGTATTTTGGAAAACCAACCTGGTATCCGAAGTCACCGAGTTATTGACAGGCTGAGGACATGAAATTCACAGCTTTAAATCACTTTTTCTTTGAGAACATTTAAATAACTGCATTTTTGCTCAAAGAACTCTTGATTTCAAAACAAAAAGCCTGCAGGAAACCCGTATACTGTTAATTGCAAAAGATGCGTCTGCTGTGGTTTTCCACATTGCTGATCATATATGGAATCCCAGATGACTAGCAGATCTGATTTTATAATTGTGTTGTGTGAGGAGTTTAAACTGAGTGTTACTTGTTATTCTGTCATTTATCTCTACTGTTTCTTTATTAATGTCTTCAGCGTTCATTGTCCTCAATCTTTCATATTTTGTACTGATGCTTTATTACAGTGTTTTCCAAATTTTTTAAGTAAAAATATTTCAAGATGAACAACAGTCCTTCCTCAGGAACTGACTGAAAGCTAAATGGTCTTTATTCATATAGCTATTGCCTTACACATCCCCTCTTTGGAAATCATTGTTCCATCGTATGCTATTGCTTCCTCATCCCTACATGCCTTGATGAGTAGTAAAATATGGTGTTGACATTTAAAATACTGTCACTGGCATGGCCGATGGGTGAGTGAATGACTGACTGAGAGAGTTTTCTCCTCAGAGGTGATTTTGGGGGGGACTCTTTACAAATTCAGGCTGTAATGATGGTTATTTTTTTGTACAACTTATGCTCGCCATACATTTTTGAGCTTTGCTTTGCAAACATAAGTGGGGCTGTTCTTTTTATTATAGTTGCTATTGTCTGTGCCCATCCAGTGTCTTGTCCTGCTGCTGCCCCAAAAGATTTGTGCTGCACTTTGGAAATAACACTTAACTGCATCACAGGAGTTAAATATGAAAAAATGTCATTCAGAGCTTGCAGGGCCTTTACACGCCAGTCACAGACTGTCACCTAGGGTGTATTATAAGCTTGGCTAAGCTTTCCGTATTTTAAGTTCACAGTTTGTCACTACATTGTTATTTTCATTGCTATGTCTTTGATCTCATGAAAAGCTCTGTGCTGGTCAAGGAGTCTGTTGACACAGTTCCATTTGTCCATGTGGGCTTTTGAGCTCATTACAGAGTGAAGGAAGGATCATGAAAGCAGAGCTTCGGAAAACATTGTAGTTGCCAAACAACATAGCATTTCTGAAGCTGTTCTGTGTCTTACTGTGGGTCTCTGCTTCAGATCTGAGCTTTCACAGATTGCTGTCCACACCATTCTTTCATCAGTGTAGCTGTGACAATACAGAAATATTAGCAGTACTTACTATTGTGTCAATGTAGAGGAATCCATCCCATGTGGGAGCAGCAATACAAGCAGAAAATAGATAGAACCTTTGCCCGGAGGTTATTGTCTGAAAGTCTAGACTGCAGAAGGTGAGTGGATATATAGAGAGAGGGAAGCAGTAAGAAATAAAGTTATGAGTGCTTATTGCCTAGCACTACTGCTGACACATTTAAGTAGGTTCCCCTTCTGAAATCTGCCATAGACCCTCCAGCTTGGTCAGCAATCCCTGATTGCTTCCAATGTGTCTTTGCTGGCAGCCAAGCTGTTAGCACAGGAGATCCTGGCCTGTTCTCCAGATTGTTTTGTCTATTGCTAGGGTCAGGAAGCTCCAGCTGTGTGGTGCTAGGATCTGTGCACACATCAGCACAAGACAGTCGCTGCCTGAAAGCACAGTCTACTAAGGTACAATGGAGATCACTGAATACATACAATTTTAAAGTAGGTAGCTGCTGTTCACATGAAATACGCACTGCTTCGGCGACATCTCATATCACTAGCAGTCTGTTAACACATTGTGCTAGGCAGTCCCATTACAGTACAAGAGGGCTGAGATGGTTTTCCCTTCTAGTCCATGTGGTAAGAGAACTTGTGTTACTGATATTTATCAAGAAATACTTTTATACCAAAAGTTATGGACAGTTAAAAGCATATCAGGAAGCAATACCTTGAGATTTCCTATGGTTTACAAAATGATATTTTCAATTCTGTATACAAATTCAAGTATGTTTACAGAAAGTTTTTTGTGGTACTAATGGAAATTTCTGAATCTATGCCTGCTTCTTTCTCCAAACTGGCATAACTTATAATATGTGAAGAATTTCTCATAATATGAGAAGAACTATCCGTACTTCCTTGACTTGTCATTTATTAGAAAACTCAAGGTCTTGTTGGTTGACATTGGAGATAAAAGGGTAAAGATACAGCCAAAATTCCTCTGTGTTACAGAAGATATAAAAAGGGGAATATATTTGCTTCTGGATATGCTAATTCATCACTCCAAGCAGGTGTGATTGCATTCTGTCCAGTCAGTTCTTTTCTTCATATCTTAAAAAAGAGATGCAGCCCAAGTACAGGGCATTTGGAGATGGACAAGGAAAATAATTGAGTCACAGAGTCTTCTGTTTGAGGAGGGATGGGAAGGATAGGAATTTTTTTTAAGTAAAGAAGAGACAAATAAGAGAGGATATGACAGTAGTGTACAGAATGATGAATGATACAGAGAACGTGAATTGGTCGCTCTTGCTTGCCCTTTGTTAAGTACAGAAGCAGAGGGACATTCAATAAAGCAGAAAGACGAAAATAATAACACTCTTTAAAGGGAAGTTTTAAACAGTAACTACCTTGTTTCCAAAAGCTCATCTTGTTTCTCCATGATGCTAGAGCACATGTTGAGGGGGATGCAAAAGACCTCTAGGAAATGAATTCAAGTTGTATTGCTAAGCAGATATTGTGGGCATACTGCAATGACTACTGACTGGGTCAGGTTATATGGCTTGTGTGAAGAAGAACTAGTGAGATAGCCCTAAAGAACCTTTTTAGTCTTAAAAGTAAGTGGAAGTTGCGTAAGATATTAATACATGTAATGAGACTAACCATACTTTTGCTAGGTAGAGTAAAAAATAACTATTTAAGGCAGAAATCTATTATTGATGGGAAGAATGTTGCTTTGCAGTTGACCACCATGTTTTTGCACTTCTCCCTGAATATCTGCTTATGGCCCTTTTATGAAAGGCTGATGGTCTGCCACATTGGTTCAGAGCTCTGCTGTCAGGGCCAAGCAGACTTCTGTCCGTGAGGAAGTTGTTGAAAGTACATTTATTCTTCCTGAGTATTCCTTTCTGGAATTCTCTTGCTTTTGGATATTCCATTTAGTGTTCATCTTTAATTAATAGGTTTGTATCAAGATCCAGAAGAAAACTTATTTTGATCAGTAGATTCTAGGGAATTTCAATAAATAAAGTAAAATGTATATGTACTTCACCCCACCCCATACCTCATCGCTTTTTAGATAAATAGGGGATAGTGAGACATGCAAAAAGCTTATAAACAAGTGAGATCATTTTCTGGTTAGATTATTACAATATCTGTTTAGATCCATTGTTACTTTTAGACTTGATCCCTGACATTCTTTTTGTAGGCTTGCAATTATTTTATAATTGTTACCGTTCTGCATTATTTCATGTAGTGCAATCCTAATCCACCTGTGGTGATCATCACTTCAAAGCCTAATTTCTGTGGTTGTTTTGAGTGCTGTGCCTGCCTTGTTTCTAATGTCTGTGTCTAGTCCATTGTGGTAATATTGGTGTAGTGATTAAGACCTCGATCATGTCTGCGAGATAGCCTTTCCTTTCCTGCCTCAGTTTTCCCCACCTTAAAATAGGTGAAACGCCCCAGAGTTTCTGGATGAAAACCACCAACTGTGATACAGGGAGAATTGCATTTTTAGGAGTGTTTCTTCATGTCTTGTAATGTTTCTTATTGACCTCAGGGACATCATGAATGCATTTGCTGACATTCTCACAGAATCACACAGAATCGCTCGGTTGGAAAAGACTTCCGAGATCATCGCGTCCAACCGCTCCTGTCTACCCCCTAAGTGTTCTCAGTGTTAAACTTTGTGCAGCTATTGGGCATTTAAAATATTTACTGTTGAACAAGTACAGATATATTTTGTGAACCATGTAAAGTATATAATTTGTAAAAGTTTGTAGGAGATACATGTTTGCATTGACATATGTGCTATGTATATATACTGTACAGTTAAGAATGTATTTGCCCGCCACTGCAGTCCAGCTGCCTCCAAAATAGTTATGGACATTATCTTGGCAGCCCTGTGAAATACCAACCTACAATGTGGTGAAGAACAGTTTAGCCATTTGAAATCACAGAGAAAAATTGATTGTAAATAATTACATAGTCAGAGGTATGCAAATTTAGTGTCTAAACTTAAGTGAAAAGAAGCATTCGGTCTAATTTTTTGACATTTGTCAAAAGCCCTCCAAAAACCATAAAGGCTGCAGGCTAAGCTGCCTTTCATAAATCTCAGCCGAAGACTCGCTGCTGACTTTTAAAGACTAAATTATTTCTATTGTTCTCACGTAATTACATTTTTGTTGTTATCTGTGGAAAGAGCCCCACTGGGTTGAGAATGTAAGTATATGGGGGTGGGGGAGAGGAGGATTTGTGTTAGTTAAGTGGAGATGATAAAGCTGAAAACATAGCAGCAGGACATAAATCAGATTTTTTTTTTCTTTTTCTAGTTGGCTCGTCACAATAAAACATTGCAACAGATGCTGAAGCCAGGGTCAGATCCAGATGAAGGAGATGAAGCCTTGAGGTATTACGCCAATCATACGGCACAGATAGAGGTAAAGAATTGCTCGCTAGAAGATTGAATATAAGACAAGGTTGTATCTTGTGCATGGTGTATCAGCTCTTTTTAAGCTTCTGAACAGCAAAGCTTATTGAAATGGTGTGGATTATTTATGAGGAAGAGAAAGTTGAATAATATGTTTTTGGCTGTAGAAGAAAAAGGAATGCACCTATATTAAAAGTGGCTCCAAATAATAATTTTACAGTAGTTTTCCTGTGTGTTACCAAACATGTTTTGTTAGGGAAATAATGACTGTGGATAGTAGCTGTGTCATGAAGTCAAGAATAATCTTGTATGGTACATCACTCAAATAAATAATCACGAATTTCAAAGCCAGTAATGCTAACTGATCAAATTAAAAGTCTGGCTGGAGTACAAAGAGATTTTGAAGTGGTGTAGACATTCAGTATGGCTTTTGTTTAAAAGACCAAGACTTGGTCTGGTTCATCAGTTCTGTTCTGTGTTTTAAACTTTATCCCTGCCATGGGTTGGATTTAGATCAAGATGCACAGAGATATTTAGGCTCTTAACTCTTACATCAGTTTCTATGCTCTTACAATTTTTGTGGGATTATAGGCATCAAGACCAGAGTTAGGAACTGTAGTATCTGTAGTCCTTAGTGACTTTGTAAGGAGGAGAATTTCTATGGTGCAAAGGCAGCTGCTGCAAGAAACTGCAGGAAGAAGAGGCATCTGGCGCTCTCTTGGAAATGCTGTATCAAGTCCAAAATAGGCCGAGAATGAAAACTTCACAGTATGGTTGTACAGAGGCCTAGCCTGAATCTGAGCCAATAAATTTACCTTCAGTGGGCTCCCAGGCTCCATCAGCATTGGACCTGAGCTTGCATGCAAGCACCTCAGGTCCATATTGTCCCGGCTGCCATCAAGACAGACTGTGGCTGGGTCCTTCTCAGTTTCCCACCATCCTTTTTGCCTGAAACTGATCACTTTATCCCTCCACAGGATAGATGGAAGCTCCATGGCTGTGGTTGTCCAGAGGGCAGCTCAGTGCTCCTCTTAACATATTTTAATACTTTGGGTGTTCCTGAGGTATCTTTTAGCAACTGTCAATTGAGTTATCTCAGTAGGTTGTAAATTTAGGCATTAAAAAAGCACTGTGGTCTACTTTTTTGTGGCAAATAGCCTCTTTCTGGTGTAGTTTCTGAAATCTCCTACAACATCATGACTGCAAAGCCTGTTCCTTGAGCCGATATGGAGGCCTCTGTTCTCTGGGAGGCTTTTCAGATGTCATTCTGCAGAGCAGCACATGCAGCTTACTTCTTTCTTTGAGTCCCTGACAGAACTGAAGATGTGCTGTGAGCTTCTTTCACTCACCCTACCAGGTTAGCTGCTGGTCAGATAGTCCCATTGCACAACTGCTGGCCTGAGACACAGCTATTTACTTAGGACACTTCAAAATTGCCTGCTCAGATTTCACGTAATGCACATGCCCATGGCAGACTCAAGCATAATTATCCTTCATCTCCAGTGCAAATATACTTGACTATGTTACTCCTAAAAAGACTTAAGACAGCTGGGTTTTTTTAGTATTTTCACATAATAAATAGGAATTATCAGAAAGAAGGGAGGATTCTTTAATACAGGACTGTGATTGGAAAATTGAAGCTTAACTCAGCATTGATGCTTTATCAAATGGGTATTCACTGGTCTTTCTCTGAAAGAAGTCCTAGACTTGTTTGACATTTCAGATATAGCTTCCCGGTACCAGAGTATATCTCATTTGCTTGATTTGAAAGTCAAATAGTGGGGGTTTTTTATTTCACTGGTGGCTGTACAGAAACATGGGGCTAAGAGTCAAGCTGAGTTTTCTCCCCATTTCTGTATTTTTAGTAATGCAGAGTCTGTGATCAGAATAAGGAAACAATTTTGATGAGAGTGTGGTGAGATGGAATAAAATCTAGCTCACTCACCAATAACTCGGTAGTGCCTGAAATACAAACAATGAAAAACCTTGGTTTTTGCCAAGTAAGAAGATAAAGACTGACAAGATATGGATGCTGTCTGAGTAACAAGGTGCTATTTTTGCACGATCACCTTTACAACTTATCTCGTCATAGAAATAGACTCAAGGTGAGAAAAGAGTTTCGTAATCTGAGCAGAAAGCCCCTGAACTTCTGCACTGTTCACTGGGAGAGATTCATTTCAATCTATTGCAAAATTGAAGATTCTGAATTAGAACATATTTTCTGTTTGGGGGAAGTTCGGGCCTAGGTTTTGCTCGAGACATAAATTTGCCACCTTATTTTCAAGTAGGCTTTTGAAAATAGAAAAGCAGTTTTACTTTGTTTTAGGATTGAATGTTTCAACTTCATGGTAATGTTCAAATAATTTATGCATTAATTTTATAGATAAAAAGGGAGCTATGAACAAGAAAAGATATTATAAAATGGTTGGAAAGTCACTGTTCCTGAAAAAAAAATGTGCATTTTATTTATAGATTGTTCGCCATGATAGAACGATGGAACAGATTGTCTTCCCTGTCCCCAATATTTGTGAATTCCTCACTCGGGAATCCAAAAGTCGGGTATTCAATACGACAGAGAGAGATGAACAAGGGAGCAAAGTCAATGACTTTTTCCAACAAACAGAGGATCTGTACAACGAGATGAAATGGCAAAAGAAAATTAGGAGTAAGTATTGCAATTTCAAAAAATTGCTTAATTATGCTAAAATCCTTCTTTTAAGCCTTCAGATACTTTCATTTTAATAATAGACTTTTCTCTGTTCACTCCAATAGTGCAACATTTGGTAAAACTGTTGAGGGCTTGAGAGTGTAGGTTGGCAGTGTACAGGTCAGCTGAGACACTTCCATGCCACCATAAAGGAGGTATAATGCGGAGCAGTTAGTAATATAAGTAATGTATTCAAGATGATGTTTTGGACTCCAAAAGCTAAATTGAGGGATGAACTGGGTGTAGTTCTACTAAACTCAATAGAGTTGCACCTAATTAAGCCAAGGCCCCTAATATTTAACAAAATCATGTGTAGCTGCATATTTGAGGTTTGCAGATTGCTAAAAGACCATAAAAAAACTTGTAAATGTCAGACACTTAAAAACATCTCTCACCAGAAACTCAGCTGCTTTAAATCTGCCTGGCTCCCGTGGATTTGGTTCCTCTCTGCCAGTTCACATCAGCCTTGCTTGACCAGGCTGCAGTGTGTCCCAGTCTGTGAGCCCATGCTGATACATTTCCCGTGGTAGTGGAAGAGGCATAGCCACTGTCAACTCTGCCCTTTTGCTTTTGGAGCAGCGAATCAAGGCTGCAGACTAATTAAGCACCTACGGTAGCCTTGAGGGATAATGAAGAAAGGTTTATTTTTTTATATGTGTATATATAAAAGCACACGAGAATGACCAGTTTGGTCACTACTAAAATGCAGATGCTGCTGGGATGGCAGATGTCAGCTGTTTAAGAGCTCACAGCGGCATTGTGCTATTGGTTAGGAAGGAAGAATAGGATCTATGGTCAGAGCAGCAGGGAGTTTGGATAGTCAAAGCAATATGGTTTAATGCATCCTTAACATGATGGAAACATGAATGTTGGTTGCAGTTTTATAAATGTTAATTCCCAGGCTATAATTTTCAGAGGCAGTAAGAAGTTTTCATTGTGAATCCTATTGGCCCAGATCTGCTTCCCTTGATGGCACTGTGAGAACTTGTCTGTACTGACAAACTGACCAGAGCAGAAGTTGAAAACCAGATGATTCCAGAATAACTCCCTATCTGAACAGTCTATGTCGGAATAACACTCGCTATATTGTAGAAAAATTATTAACAAAATCATATCTGTGTTCTTTGCTTAAGAAACACAAATAAAAGAGCCCAACCCCACACTTACAAAGACCAGACTTGCCTAATGCTATAAGCAAAGAAAACTGGTTTATTTTTATTCAGAACAGAAATTCCTCAATTTCTTTCATCAGTGGAATGGCCCACAAGTTTTCATGTGTCGTTTTTGTTTTTATTTGAAAAGTTAATACACCTTGAAGGCTCGGTTCATTCTTCAGCCAAGTGTCTGTTAGCATGCAGCCTGCATTGCTTAAATTGACACATGTCATTTGCGATGGCTACAAATGCTTAAATCTCAGCAGGCAACAGCATAAGGATATTACAATGAAATCTGAATATTTACCTAATCACAATTAAAGTCTATTTAGACTAAAGCCTGAGACAGTCATATGCAGTCGAAGAAGTCTACTGTTTATAATAAAGTTAGCTGGGTGCAGGCAAGTCAAGAATATGTCCTGCATATTTGCAGCAGGCTCTCAGTACTTTAAAATCTAATTAATAGGAATATATTGTCTCCAAATAAATCTCACTGGCTAGAAATTTTTTTACACCATTGCAATATAATCTTGTTTTAAATGTTCATTTAAACATATTGTAGTGCAGTCATATAATATGAAGCGCTTGCCTGGGACTTAGTACCCTCTGGTCCTGTTCCTAGCCTTTTTGCTGAATAATTTATGTGACTGTGGACAAAAAATCTTAACCCCATTTTGCCCTATTTCCCTTCTTAGTCTTTTCTAACTGGGTTATAAGTTCTTTGGGAGATAGACTGGTCCTGTGTATTTGTACAGCAGTTCACATATGGAGGTCCTGCTTCATCCGAGTCCTTTTAAGCAGGAGTACAAAGTACCTGTTTATCAGCAGATTACCTTGGATGTCTGAGGATCGTGCAGGAAGTAATCAGCTCGCACAAAACCAAACCCCAGCCAGACCAAATTTCACCTGCTCCCCAAAGTAGATCAAAATGTACTTAGTTTGATGGAGGTTGGGAAAATACTGCCATTTTGCAACTTTGCCTATTTCATCGTTCTTTGAATAATGTCATCAGTGTACGTGGTCCAAATGAGTCACTTGGATGACCTGTTCTGGGTCTTCTGGTTGACTGGGATGCAGGGTGCTGAAATCTATTTCCTTGCATGACTTCGTGTTTCCATGCACAGAGACTACAGTTTCAGAGACAGGTAAATAGACTCCTTCACAAAAAATCTAGTCCTAAAATCTTTGCAGAAGCAAAATTTTCATATGTGATATACTCTATTGGGATATTTGGATTAAAGGCCCTGCTTGAAACTATGTTTTATGACTATCCTATGTTTAATATTTGTCTATTTTAGTTAATTTTAAAACTATGCATATTTTCTTCAATTTTCTTCACGCATCTGTATTTTTGTTAATTCCCTTGAGGCCATTACTGATTGAGTTCCTACCTGCTTTCATTTCATTAACTGCTGTTCTTCTGCCCTTTCTAGATAATCCACCCCTGTTTTGGTTCTCCAGACATATCTCTCTCTGGGGGAGCATTTCCTTCAACCTTGCTGTATTCATCAACTTAGCAGTTGCTCTCTTCTACCCTTTTGGAGATGATGGAGATGAAGGCAAGTGGATCTTGTTTTTATTTTTCCTTTTAATTTCAGATGCTTTCAGTTCTAAGGTAACACTGCACCTTGAGTTATGCTCATTTCTGCAGAAGCCATTTAGCGTCTTCTAAGTCAGTACCAGATGTTGTCTGAAATGTAGTAGTTCGTCTTCTGTGTGTCACATGTCCCATGTATTGTGAATTAAAATGGACAGAACGTAACTGCTGAACTGAAGATTATCTAGATGATCTGAGCTAATTCTTTTTCTTTTTTCTATTTTTTCTAATATTACCATATTGCAGTGTATTGTTACGCACATTCAGTTATAGTTTCTGAGCTAAAAAAATAGGTTTCTGGCAGCAGAGGGACTGATATTGTTTAAAACTGACCAATATGAATGACTTGCATTCTTAAAAACATATGGTACAGAATGATTGAAAACTAGCTTGTTGAGTTCTGACTATTTTGTTTATTGGGATAAAAGGACATAACTAAAAGGCATTATATAAAAATATGCTTAAAATCTATTTTTCTGTCTCGGCTTCATCACATGTCACAGGAAATATAGCAAATAATAGATTTCATTAAATAAATGCAGCAGACTAGCGAGAGGCCTCTTTGAATCCAAAACAGGCTTAATTGGGATAAAGGAGACTAAACAGTTCAGAATACTGGTAATGCGAGCAGAGCCATTCACCTCTGGGTCTTTGATTTGTGTCCAGTCCAGCCAGTAATGTGACTGAAAGTCACCTCTGTCTGATGGCATGTGAACTGGGCTGGTGGAAGCCATCCAGCTTCTAGTAGATGCATGTGCTTTTCACAAACACCAGAGCTGGCAGCAGCAAACATTCCTGGTGGCTGGCTAAACAGAAAGGCAGCAGATTAAGGTATACTGGCATGGAGACCACGTTGCCCTTTCACCCAACGGGGTGGTCTCTGCAGGTCTCTGCACTGGCATCTCGGCAGCCTTGTGAGGGAAACTTTGCAGGGCTGTGTGAAAGGGAAGCATTTGCACTTAGTGCTTTCCTGTTTGTAAACTGAAGAGTCACTTGGAGTGCACACATCATAGAGCCTATACAGGGTAAGAAAAGAAATAAAGAATTAAAAAGAAATCTTATAAACTACAAAATTTTAGCTAATCTATACTTACAGAAATCCTGTGGTCTGCAATCAGTAGGTATTAATACTTACTTTGAGCTGCAGATTTATACAGTATTAGTTTAAGTGGCCCCAGTAATCCAGTGATTTCAGTGATGGCGCATTTCAGGATTCCAGTTCCTATTGCTTATAAAAACAAAAGCGATTCCTGAGCAATAAACAACAGGTGTGGCCAAATGGGATTAGCAGGTGATGGGGCAGCCTCCTTAGTTCCAGCCTCCTGCTCCACCAAAACGTAATGTCACAGCCGGAGATCTTCTCCCATTTTCCCCCTTTACCTTAAAGGTAAAAGGGGGAAAAATTTACCTTAAATTTTACCTTACCGTAAATCCCCTCAGATGTCTGAGGTGCCTGGGCTGATCTAATCATCCCAAGAATGTCACCTTTCAGTTGGTTTCTGTAGTTCTTACACCATATGACATAAGCAAAAGCGTACTCCAGGTGAGGACTTCTTGCCTTCTGTGCATATGTCTGCACACGTTACCAGCATGGGTCCTGCAGTGTTGAAATAGTTGGACCTGCATTAGGGAAGTAGGAAAAATTATTTGTTAAAGAAACCCGTAGTGCTTTGGTCTCACCTTTAAGTTTCACTTGGAAGTTATTTTTTAGGACCCATTAAAAGTTTCCAGATCTTGTTGGCGAAGAAACTGTCAGACAGAGCCGACCTTGAACCTCCTGCCAAGGATATAAACAGTCCTGAACTTTGGAAAAGTTCAGATGCCATCTGAATGTTGCGGCCAGGGCCTCATCTCATTGTTTTCTAATCCCACCGATGCTGCACAGCTGTGTATCTGTTGCCAAAGAGATAGCATGATTTTCATTGTGAGTCTAGCTAAATTTTCTATTCCCTTCTCCCCCATCACTGACCTCTTGGTTCGTCTGATAACAATAGAAGTCAGTGTATGAGTGTGACAGTGCCCGAAGATCTGAATGTGCTTTTTATATCACAGCAACACGGTGCGTTTCCAGGGCTTTAAGCAGAGGAGAGAGGGAAAGCAGGGGCATCGCTCAAAACTCAGGGAGAGCCTGGAGCCAGCATCTTGCACAGCAGCAAAGAGACCGACTCTGAAGGCAGTGGCTCACATGCCCGTGGGAGCTCAGCAAGATGAGGGACCCACTGCTTCCCCGGGAGCAAGGCACAGCTATTCAGCCGCTCTCGGCAATGCAGATGCTGCCTGTTCCTGCCAAAGTCCCTGTGGCTGCCTCCTGCTGTGGCAAGTGCCTTGCCTCCTGTGCAGAGGTGGAGGCTCCCCACTGAACACTTGCAGCCCTTCGGAAGAAAGCTACTTTTCTAAAACCAGGGCGCTTTGGTGCCGTTGGGGATTGAAACGTGACTCTGCAGCACGGTGCCGCTTGCTGCGCCACCCCAAGGAACGGCTATTTCTGTAGCTGAGCAATTGTGGAATTAGACTGGAGCAGCCCTAATGATCCCTGCAGAAGGGAGCTGATTAGTAGCTGGCTCCAGGAGAAGGGTAAACTGCTTCATCTCTGAGAGCTCCTTGGATCTGAATGGAAATTCAATTAGCTGCTCATATTATTACCTGTGCAGAAATCAACAATACTATGATAATAGCTCTTGCTGCAATTAGGGCAAGTTGTGGTCAGCAGTTGTGATGCATGAATCACGCTTTTTGTTAGCTGTATTGGCAAAGGAATTGATCTTTCGGATCTGTTTCTTGGTGAAAAATGGGTTCTCCAAAGATGCCTTTCTCAAATCTCCCTTTCTCCTCTATACAGGCACGCTCTCTCCATTGTTTTCCCTCCTCCTTTGGATAGCAGTGGCGTTTTGTACGGCAATGCTGTTTTTCATCTCCAAGCCTGTTGGTATTCGACCCTTTTTGGTGTCTGTTATTCTCAGGTCTATATATACTATAGGTCTCGGTCCAACCTTGATACTTCTTGGTGCTGCTAATGTAAGTACTTTAAAAAGCAAGCAGAATTTCCCTTTCAGCAGAAGTGGAGATATTAAGGGTCTCTTATTTTAAAAAAAGCCCTTTATTGGAGCTGTGCAAAGAACTTCTTTTTCTGGTTCACTGGTTAAGCCAAAACAATAAATCCTTTCCAGTCACCCTGAAACAGCAGTATCAGCAAAGTGGAAAGCTAAGAAAAAAAGCTGTTTTGGTTTTGTGCATATGCAAATATTTTAAAAATAAAAACAAAGTGAAATTCAAAGAAATATTGCTGAATAAGGTGAATCAAATTTACAGTTTCTCATGTTAAAAGAATAATCTTCTCTACTAATATGCTCAGCAAAATTGACCCAAATTTGTGAGATGTTCCTGTGAGGTTAAATGTATTTTTGAGAAGAAAAAAGTTTTCAAAATTAAAAATTCTCTCAGCCATTTTCCAGATCCCTTAACTTAGACATGAATAAGTTTGCATGTTTTCAGAGCTTGGTAAGATATACACTGCTGCTCACAAGTCGTCCATTTAGATTTCTGCCTGACTGCTACAGCTCTAATTCACCTTAGCACCAGGTAGCAAAGTGTTGGTCTATTTGCCACCAGTTCTGTGAGAATTTCATATACTTAAAACTACCCAGACATATAGTCGAAGGTAAAGGCAAGTAAGCAGTGCTTGCCTATGTCAAATCTGTGAAAGAAAAAAACATGTTGAGTCCTCATTACTTGTCCTGGACTACCGAACTGATGAGGTTAGCCCCTTTTGTATTTACTTCTGCACTGCTGTTCCCATGTGGGCAAAGCTCAGGAGCAATGTTGAATCTGATGCTGTTGCTTAAACGCTGTACTTCAAAAATGGCCCCAGTATTTTTTTTTAGGTTTTTGTACTGAAAAACTTGATCTGAAGGAAATGGTCGATCTCACACACACCCCACATACTTTCTGTTGCGTTACTATCTTTTTCTTTGTAGTAGCATGCCCAGCTGCTCTTACATGGTCTTGGGTCTAAACTCAAAATTGTTAGGAATTCACTCCTCAGTTGTTTTTTTAATGCCTTATGACATTAATCCCACCCTGCCTCCTTACTAACGTTATAGAAATAAATCACAATGTAATGAGGCACAGTGCAGTGTTAGCAGGGTGATGTATTTCCACGTACTCTCAGAGGCTCACTCCTGGTGTACCTTGGGAGCTGGGTTTCTCTCTTTTGACTCCAGCTATCTTGATGCTGCACATTTAGTCAAAGCAACCTATTTAGACTTTTTGCACACTACAGAAATGCAAACAATAAATAACAGTATTTTTCTAGTGGAATGAACCTAGCCTTTGTTTCCCCCCCCCCCAGCTTTGTAACAAGATAGTGTTTCTGGTGAGCTTTGTTGGGAACCGTGGAACTTTTACCCGTGGCTACAGAGCGGTCATCATGGACATGGCTTTCCTCTATCACGTCGCATATGTCCTGGTCTGCATGCTGGGCCTCTGCGTGCATGAGTTCTTCTATAGTTTCCTGGTAAGTATGTGCTTCTGTGGAGGGGAAAACTTTGCAAAAATAGAAAATACCGTTAACCATGCAGCTGTCTTCAATTTCTTCCTGACAATCAAGCCAAATCATGTGTATTTTTAGCATGCCGTTGTGCTGCTACCCCTTAGGAGCTGCTGTTTTCATTAGAACCTGTTTCTGTTAGGACTTATTTTATCTCTTTTAGAATTGAAAACTTGCCCCTTTCTTTTCAGACAATCATCATACAGCCTTTCTCCCACCTTTCCCCAGCGTACATATATTATGTGTACGTTGTTCCTGTATCTTGTGTAAGTCATAATCTCTATGGGGCAGGAGCTGTCTGGCGTGTGCATAATACCTATACCAATTAATCCCTTTCCTCAGTTCATCTTGCAGCCCTAATTAAAAAAAAAAAAAAAAATCCTTGGGAAATAGGTATGGCATGCCTCTGGTGTAGCAAGAAGAGTTACCGCTTTAAATGTATCCTGCTTTCATTTTCTTTTGTTGCCATTACCCAGATGGAATGCCTTTTTATAATACCATACAGGTGCAATGAAAATGAATCATACAAAATTATGCTAAACTCAGCTAACTGCTCCCTTCACGCTGAATAGCAGTAAAAGGTGTTTCACTGCTCTTGTTTTCTAGTCCTTTCGCTTTATACTGGAGTGTGTGAAACTTGCTGGGAGACTGACTGAACTGTGGTCATTTGCATGGGTTCACTTTCCTGTTGTCATGTTTTTCTCAGCTTCCTGAATAGCAGTGGGCTCCCAGCATTTCACAGAGGTGTGTTACACACACTAAAATTTTGAGGGGTTCAGTCCTTACTCTGGCAGAGCTTCTGTTGAAGTCAGGTTGTTCAGAACTTGACATTAAAGGTAGCTTCCAAGTTTGGGCAGATTTCAAAGGAACCAAGATTTTGTGGCCGTAGCTGCAGGACCTTTTTTCAGATGGATGTAACTCTCCTGCTAATTGATGCCTACCATAAAAAATGTGTACAACAGGTTATCTGTTATTCCTTCAGTGAGTAAGGTGATCTCTACCTTAAAATACTTCCCAAAGTGCGAAGTAGTTTAAGAAACGTTTTATGTACGTACTATTTTCAGTGACTGCTATTGACAAATATGATCCATGATTCATGGATGTTATGATTGTCCACATTTCCAAGTTACTTCCAGGTGTTCACTTTGTAGTGGTAATACTGTAAACTCAGATATTTGTTCCTCTTTTTAAGCTTTGTCTCGTATGAAACGAATGGTAACTGTCTTCCCTCTTCTGTTGTTATTAATCCTTTCAATTCTTGTGAATTGTGACTAATACCTTCGTCTTGGACCATTTTGATAAATCATAGTGTGTCACTTTATATCTGTAATCTGAGTGTTTTGAAGTGGAAATACATACATTATAGATAAGGTCCAAAGCACTACAGAACATCAATAGATTTGTAAGAGGAAAAAAAGCTATAGCTCCTTGAAAAGCTCTTAGCACGTTTAATTGCTATTTTAGGCCTCTGACATTTAAAGCAGTACTATCTTAATGTATACTTTTCTTTAAATTTAAATACCAGGAAGGCATGTAGTACAAGGTAAAGAAGAAGTTTCTAGTTTTATGCAAACAGTGTAATGAATTTAATTTTGTCCTAAAAAGAGATGGGTCTGATCCTTGTACGTCTAAGTGACTTTTAAATGATGCCATGAGCACCAAGAAATGGTTTACGGACATGTAATTACTTGCATACATTAGTGCATTTTTGAGTTGCAGCCCATGCATGTTTATTGCATAGTAGATAACATGAAAAACTAATTTGTAGGTGTAGATCCATAGTATGAAGGCACTGTTTTTTAATTTTAATTTAGCCTGGTTTTGAACATGGGGAAACAATAGATCTTGTTGGTAACCATTACCTGCATCTAGATAAGGCTCACATATGATATATAATTTGTGGCTTTGGCTTTTGCTCTAATCTATTTTAAACTTTAAAGTTCTGTGCTAGATTTTCTCCTCCTATAAGTGTGCCCAGCTCCCACTGAAATCAATGTGAATTGTGTGTTTATGAAGCTGAGAATTTAGAACATGACTAGATGTATGTTTCAGTAGTTTAGATTGTTTTCCTGTGTAGCATCTGTATATTGCCTCATTTGTATTCATTTTTCCTCTACTCTCTGCTTTTCCCAGCTGTTTGATCTGGTGTACAGAGAAGAGACTTTGCTAAATGTGATAAAAAGTGTTACCCGGAATGGTCGCTCCATTATCCTCACTGCAGTGCTAGCGCTCATCCTAGTTTATCTCTTCTCCATCATTGGGTTCCTCTTCTTGAAAGATGACTTTATCATGGAGGTTGACAGATTGAAAATCAGGACTCCTGTTGCAGGTATTTTTTTTTTTGTATTAAAATTTGCTTCCAACATGTACATTTTCTATCTGTCTAATCTAACTTTCCTCTAAGGAAATTTATTTTTTTTAGTTGTATCTGTAGGAGCAGAACTAACTGTATGCTGTGGAACTAAGTTAAGTCTCTGGGTAAAATCTGATGTGTAGGGTTGTTTTAGACTAGGTTATCTGTTGAAATACTAAAATCTAATGCTCACACTTGATTTATTATGTTTTCATTTCTAACTCATACTAATATAAAAAAAATAAATCTGCATTTCCTAAGCATTTGGAAGAGCAACTCCAAGTGGATTCTGTTGGTTCTCTACCCACCTTAAAAGCAGCTCATATTATTTTCTATGTACTGCGTGAGGCATGTGATCTTAACATGTTCAGTAGATGGATTCATTTGATTACTTTTTAAGCTTCATCCAGTAAAAATATATTACAGAATCCTCACTTCTGCTGATAGGAGATTTCCTGGAGCATCTTTTAAATTCAATCTGTATTTCACAAACATCGCTGTTAGTGTATATTCCTGGCTTCAGTAAATCATTGGGAGGTTTTTAACTGGTTTTTAAAAGGCCAGGATTTCAGCTTTCTGGGCTGAGAGATTTTACCAGTGTGGATAGAGAGTTATAGACTTGCTTGGCTAGAAAAAAAGCCAGGTCTGGTCTGCTGAGATCTTTGTGGACGCTGCCAGCCAACCTGCTGGGAGCATGGGCAGAGAAGTAACTGTCTGCATAGAAATACCTGAGAATAGCTTGTGATTAAATTCACAGCAGCGTGATTTTCCCCAATGCTGAGCTCTTCAGACCTGTACACAAGCACAGAACGACTGGTGAGATCCACTCCAGACTGTGTACACTCAGTGTCTGCCAGCCTTTTCCTGCATTTTTTATTTCAGGACCTAAAAGGACACAAACAAGGCAGAGCTCATTCAAGACTCATGCTCATGGTGCACTCATATAGCTGCTCTGATAGGAAAAAAAGGAACCCGACAGATTTCCTTTTTTGCCACTGGCTAAGTTGATTTTTATTCAAATTACCATTCATTTTTGGGCAAAACTTACAATCTGAAGTTTTATTTTGACAGATAATTGTGGCCATTGTAGAAGAACGCATGGATGATCTGGTCCAGTAGTACCTGTGTGTTTGTGTTTCTTCTGTTGGGTTCTAGGCAGATTTTTGTGGTGGGGTTGTATTCTTACTGACGTTATACATTGCCATTCCTGATTAAAAGCTCATGAAGAAAATATGCTGATTATATACTGATGAAACATAACACATTCCAAGACAAGTGCTTTAAATTTTTTCTTTATAAAGTAGCACAAAGAGAAAGTCAGGGTGTATGTTTTCTGTTACACACATTGTCTTAGACTGTTGCTTTGGTTGTATGATTTTGCCTTCATTTTTTTCCTCCTTAAACCTTTTTGTATCTCTGAATTGAAATGCAGAAAAATGTTGAATATACACAAGATAAAATTGGTTTGATAAAATCAAGCTGATGTACACGTTTACCCACTTTGGGAATGTTAAATTAGTGTTTTACACAAGCCTATACATATTTACAAATGAGTACCAAACTGTGTTATAATCCTTGAAAACTCTTAAATATTCTACACTCAGGATAACTGAACATCAACTTGGTGTCCTTCTTGTCAGCTTTTGTGAATAATTTATCTAATGGTTTTAAAACTGACATTATTTTCATATCTGACAGTTGTTTCTTGCTTTGAATATATTTGGTTCTAACCAGAAGTTGCAGCATTTGATGTAGATTCATTAATTTCAGGAGATGAAATGGGAATAGCTGTGATATACAGTAAATATAAAACTGTGTTTTTGTTCCTTGTGATTGCTTTGAGCTGTTGAGGCAGGCTGTTTGAGGAAGGAGGATTTGGTGGTATAATTTGTTCTGCTTTTTCTTCTCAACTTTTCAAATCAATGATTCATTTCTAGAAAATAATTATTTAAAAGTTTGCATCAATCTACTATCTTTTTGTCAATATCCTGCTTTTTCCACAGGTATTGGTGAAGTTCCCACTACAACCCTCACGTCAATGATGGGAGCCTGTGCAAAAGAGAACTGCTCAACAAGCATCCCTATTATTAACCCAGGTTAGTGCAAAAGTTCCCCCAAAGTGAAGGTCAATTAGCACTGAGGGATTTGTGTGATATTATTGCAGAGGCTTTTGCTAATGTGAAAAGTGATGATCATTGTTGTAAGTCGGAAGTGCTCCACTTCCGCAAGGCTTGGTTGGAGCTTAGTTGGCAACTTGCCTTTAATGGGAGTGCTTCCCACACCTGATTTCCAATTGCACTGACATTAATTTTGTTATTGAAAGCTTGCTGAATCATTATGCTTGAACGCACAGGTTCCTTCTTTCCAGCTGGCTTTGCTGAGAGGAAAAGCTTGCTGCTTATCTGCAGCATACTCACCTGCACACACTGAGCCACTATTACATCCCTTTAGAGACACGTAAGTTGACGTTAATGGCATAGCATATATCAGCAAGATTTTGTGTACGCTTTCTACATGCATCTAGGCCAAGGTTGTAGTGTAGCCGGAAGACCTAGGAGCCCAGATTCAGGATCATGTTACTGTGTGTACTTCTAGGGCAGTTACCAGATACTAGTTACCAGATACTGGGTCAGAAAGGAATTTTTCGTGGATCAAGCTGACAGTGCTTTGCCCTCTTCTATAGTTTGAGGCTACAGGGCCACTTGAGAGTTTTATTGGCCAAGTGGATTGCTGGACAGGGACCTTTGATGGTGGTGCTACTTCCTCTCGCTTCCTGTGGCACAGTCTCGTGGTGGTGGTTGGTCTTTCACTACAGATGTTAAGTTTGTTTTAGTCTCTTGTGGCCCCTGCAGTGTGGGTGTGTGCACAGTGGATGGTCTACAGGCTTCAAATATTTACTGCCACAGTTGCCTGTGGTTGCTAGGGACTGAAACTGAGGATGTAAGTGGTCCCCTCCTATCCTGTGTTCCATTATAACACTGTTTCACATGCTTTATTCTTCCACTATTAAATTTTGAGTTTTTAGGATCAAGGGTTTCAGGGATAGGGCTATAAAAGTAGGCTTTTTCTCCCCAGCTGGTGTGTAAACAAGCCTCATAAACAACATGGGAAGCTGTCTGACTAGATAGAGAAAACAGCCTAAGAGCTATTGGCAAAGCTGCTGCCTTCACAGGGTAATCAATCAGTCAAAAGAGACGCAGTGTAGCTTTTGCCAAGCTCTTTAAACAGTAGAAATCTCGCATTTCTTATTGTTTGGATACAGTTTCTTTAAAATTAAACAAGAATGAAAGGGGGGGCTATACAAAACATCTAAGTTCACCCTCACTTAATCTTGGATAAGTTTTATTTTTCCAGTAACATTAAAAAAACAACATTCAACAAGAAGAGTCTTGCTCATCTTAGCCAGTGAATCACCTGTCAAAAAGTAGTGCTCTGCCTTCTGTCTTCTCCTGGGACAGATCTCCGTTCTGGCAAAAACATGAGTGCAGTGGAATTCAAAGGCCTGAGATTTGGTGGGATTCATGCTGTAGCAGCATGAAGAAGTCCACAGCTGTCTGTGGGAAACAAAAATGCTGTCAATGGCATCTCAGGTCCAGAGTGGAGACATAAATATGTTGCTTTTCAGATCAGATCGCTGCTAATCATTTGTTCTTATGAGACTCAGCTTCTTGAGTTTCACTGGTTGAGCATGTGCTCAGTTGTTGCTCATGCTGGTGAGAGAGTTAACTGGGAGCCAGTCTGCTCTTCTCAGAAAGCATCCCCTGTCTGTATCCTGCTTCCTCACTGCTGCACTTCAGCAGGAAAATATTTTGTATCGTCTCCCTCAGAGTCTCCCACTCTTAACTCCAATGGCATTTCCATATCACTCAAGTCTTTGCCTGGTGAAGTGCTTAATCACTTAAAGGAACTTCACATCCTACAGTACGTGGCTCTTTGTGCTCTGTAGCCCATAAACACCTGTGTACGGATGTCTGTCTGTTAAAGGGGACATTTTCAAAGACTGATTCAACTCCCAAGCCTGGTGCTGCTCTGTGCAGGTTCAGCTAGGTCCACATGGGCACTCATGTGTCTCCCCTGCCTGTTCTTGTGTTGGAGATCAGGCCCAGAAGCGAGGTAGCTGTGGGCCATCAGATGAGGATTTTTGAACTAAATCTTCCTGTCATCCCACTTACTGCCCTGTGATTAATATTATGGGGTGGTCTTAGTGCTTAACCTCCACTACCTTTGAATTAAACTTAGTCAGAAGACAGCCTACCTAATGCTGTCTAGCCACTAATAGGCCACTCACCAGGCTCGAGCTGGTTGCAAGTAAAACCCCCTGAACCTCAATTAGTGTCAATAGTGGGTCCTTAGCAACAATTCACTCTACAGATCCACTCCTTTTGGTAGTATGGGCATAGTCTGTGCCGACAGGGGCTGAGTCTGGGCTATGCTGAGCATCCACCAGGGCAACCCAGCTGGGCAGAATATGTGCCAGTAGGGTTATGTGGCTCCCAGATTGAAGGTAGCTACTGATGCTCCACATCTGCGAGTGGAAACAGAATAGATGTACTGGTGTCTGCACACTCCCCAGAGACTACATTACTGCAGTGGGGTTTTCTGCCAACGTCGGGCAGTTTGCTGCCTAATTCTCTGGCAAAGAGCAACCTGAACTTGCTCTTCTGGGTGCAATATGGGATGCTGATTGTCTGTGTTGTAAGACATGCTTGTCAGCTGATAAGTGGTACCTTGTGCACTTTCTTAAGCATGGGCTTGCTGTGAATTTGCACCTTGGTGGACATGGAGAGTTATGAGTTGGAGTTTCTAGCAGATCACTCTCTCTGCTGTTGCATTTTCCAGTTTGTAGCCCTGGTTTATCCTTGCCTTTCACCAGAATCTGACCATCTGCTGTTTCCGGCACCTGAATCTGGTCTGGTGAACATTGAAAATCCTGTTCTGTAATTACCAAAATGAAATAGAAGTTGTGGCTTGTATAAAGGTTTTTGATTTATCTTGTGGACGGTCATTTTCTCAAGCACAGATATTAGCAGCAAAAAAATTGGTAAGAGTAATTTTTGGATAGGAGGAATTAAAGGCAGGGTACAAAAGCAGAGGAGATTAATTGGTATGACTAAGATCACAGTGCTAGTAAAAAGTTTCCAGATGTGGCAGAGAAAAAAAGGTTTTATTGTTTCAGTCCTTTCAGTTTCAATTTCAATATTTAAGCTTTTTTTTTTAAAATCTGGAGTTATTGGTGGTAGTAGTGTCTGTAAGAACAGTATAGTTTTACAGGGAAGTCTATCCTGATGTCTATTTTTGCTTTTCTTTTTACTCAGAGTTCCTTAAATCAGGAGTTCTCTCTCATTTAATTTACTTACATAGCAAAAGCAATGGTGACAAAGGCAGCTCTATTCCACAAATGCCAATCGTGATGCACACATCATGATTTGGGAAGCCATGTTTTAAATCCAAATTGCTTGTCTGTAATGGGAGTGCTTTCAGTTAATTCAGTTTATCAAAGTCTACCTCAGTGCCCCAGATGTGGTGGTTTGAGGCTGTTAAATACGCTGTTTCAGTTAACTATCTCATCAGGATGTTGTTATTTATTAAACTATGTTACAATAAGTGCACAAAGCAAACCAAGTGAGAATCACCGCCTTCACCACTTAAGCAAACGTATCCCTAAAGAGAAGGGAAGGCAGGAGAAACGGCAGTCACAGTCCTGACCCTTCCGTGCAAGCCAGCAGGACACAGGGAACAACTCAAGCAGGGCTTTTCAAAAGAAGGCTGTTGATGCAGCCACAGCATGGGGGTGAGTGCATGGTGGGAGGAATTCTGGCTGGGGCAGACGGAGTTCCCCTGGGGACTGGTGTTCCAGCCCAGCTCCTCTGCACGTTCAAATATCTCCTGCACAATAGTACCCTCTGTGGCTTGGCCAAAACCACGTGGCAGCTCTGCAGCAGAGATAAGAATAGAATCCAAGTTTTCAAGCCGAGGTCAGGCAGAGTCTTTCATTTAATGTATATCAGACCTGCGCCTGGGCACGTGTGCTAGTGGAAAGATCGTGGACAGATTTACTCATATAAAAGCCAGCCTCTCCTTATTGATTTGAAATGCTAACATGACCTGGCTTGTACATGAGTAGGTAGAGGAATGATTTCACAGGAAGACAATCCTTTTACAAATGTGCTTCTAATTCTGTGTTTATACTGCTTCTCCTGTATGTGTCAGCTGCACGCTTAAGGGGCCCGCTAAAAAAGCAGTCATACTGAAACCAGTGGGAGTACTTGCAAGGAAAATGGGTACTCCTGTGAATAGAGATGGCCACTCTGGATCATGAATAGAGTTTCTGTTGGGAAAACTGCTTGGGATTTTCAGGGTAATTATGCCTGGTGCACCTAAATATGTCACCAGCAGCAGTGTGCAAATGGACAGAGATCATCAGTGAAATTCTAGCTGAAGAATATGAAAAGCAGATGTGTATTGCAGTTGCTTTCTCTAATATGGAGTTGTGACTTTGATGAGTAATTACTTGATGCTGTGGTTCCTAAAGCTGTGTGTCTCCTGTTAGCAGGTGAAGAGGAGGAGGATGGAATAGAAAGGACCTGTGACACCTTGCTCATGTGCATTGTGACTGTATTAAACCAAGGCCTGCGAAATGGTGGTGGTGTGGGAGACGTGCTCAGAAAGCCTTCCAAAGATGTGAGTGTTTTGGCTGAGGAAATGCGTTACTCCCTGTGCATCTCATGAAAGCCAAAGTCAATTTCTGGAGGTTATATATATTTGTATGTAGTCTCCTCTAATGTCACACAGTTGATTTATCCATGTAATTTTTACATCCCAGATGGAATATTTAATGAGAAGAGCTAAGCTTGGTGTGATGATGATACTTGAAGAAAAGAACTCTAGGTAGTAGTTTACCCCTTTTGGAAAACTGAAGCATATTGTAACCTTCTGAGCACTGCTAAGAAGTGTTGCTGGGTTAGATCACTCTTCTGTTACACTAAGAATTATAAATGCAGACTTTTGAAAGGGATTGATTGATAAGTATGTGTCAAGACTCTTCACTGTAATACATAAGGTGTATTTTTAGCTGAAATTCAGCATGGCATCTGCCCTGGAATAGGTCCTATTGTTTGCTTGTACTCAACTAACATCAAAGTCAAAACAGAATTTCATATATCATGGTATATGTCCTCTTCCAGAAATTTCCTCTACAATTCAATTCATTTAAGGACTACTCATAATATTTGGGTGCTTTTGTGCACTTTTATTTAGGTTCAAAACCAAGGCAATCTAGCAGCACTTTGCTTGGTGATGCACACCATAACACAAGGATTAAATTTACAAGTAGGATCTCAGCAGGGCTTGCAAGAGTCCAGAGACAAGTAACTTAGATCTGGATGGAAGACCTCCTTGTGCTAGTAGTCAGAACCTAGGTCCTATCTCGGAGGTTCTACAGGAACTGTAGTCCATGCCGATGAAGTCTGTAAACAGAGACTTTGAAAATGACCCTTGCCAATTAGCAGTTATTTAATGCTAACTACATTAAAGCTCTTCTCAAAGCGTAGTACTATTATCCCAATGAACGTGTAAAAAACTGAGAAAATAAGTGACTTTCAATTCATTATCATGATGAAGAAAAGGTCTTGGGTTTTATGTTCCTCCTCCTTGCACTGAGTGTTGTCTCTTGTTTACCACAGAAAAACTTAGCTATTTTTAGAGGTGTCAATGGCAGTCCAGTCCAGCCTTTGCAAGAAGGAAAGTAAAGATATAAAAACAAGAGTGTGATGAAATGGGGAATATGAGCATTTCATAGAATCACAGAATCATTAAGGTTGGAAGAGACCTCAAAGATCATCAGGTCAAACCGTCAACAACACCATGCCTGCTAAACCATGTCCCGAAGTGCCACATCCACACATTTTTTGAACACCTCCAGGGATGGTGACTCCACCAGTTCCCTGGCCAGCCTGTTTCAGTGCTTGACCACTCTTTCAGTAAAGAAATTTTTCCTAATATCCAATCTAAACCTTCCCTGGCATAAAAAGTGTATGGGTGCATGTGTGGGTGTAAGTGTGTGTGCATGCATGTGCCTGTCATGTTCCCAGAAGACACGAGCTTGGTCTGCCCACTCTGAGCCAGCTTACAGCCATATGACTGCATTAGCACAGTGCTAAAACCATTGACATGCCCTGCTTGGGCTCAGAGTACAGTAGCCTGGCCTTGGCGTCGCACCAGTGTGCTCTCCTAGTTTCCAGTTGTTCAGTGTGCAAACTTGGCGTTGGTCTAAAGTATTACACAAAGTCATACCCTAAGCCTATCCCTGTATGCCACAAGGCAGTATTAAAAGGAGCTATCATTGCTCTCAGTGGGTACTAGAAACTGCATCTCCTTGTTTTCGTACTGGCAAGGTAATTATCTTCAATCGAGCAGTACACTAATGCATCTACACTGCATCCGGTACACACGCTGGTCTCTTCTTCCTGCTATGTGAAGCAACGTAAAGGACAACAGGATTCCCGAAGCAGTAAGAGCACATGATGCCAAACTTCCTTGCTTAGTCACATAGATAGTCTCTCTCCATTTATGTGAGTAAGGCTAACAGAATTTGGCATACAAAAAGATGTGTAGCTTTGCTTGAGCTAATGTGAAAATGTTTAATATTTCAGAAGTGTGCTATTTTTATAACTTACTGCAATCTTGTTTCAGGAGCCCTTGTTTGCGGCGCGAGTTGTTTATGATCTTCTGTTTTACTTCATTGTCATAATTATTGTTCTAAACCTAATCTTTGGAGTCATCATTGATACATTTGCTGATCTCAGGAGTGAAAAGCAGAAAAAGGAGGAAATACTAAAGACAACCTGTTTCATCTGTGGTAGGTGTTACTGAGCTATTGAGACATTTGATGAATAAAGGAATAAAATGAGCTATTCCTCAATATATTACGCATGAAACTAAGGGGTGGTTATATTCTACAAGGAAAGTCTATAAAAATGTCAGAGTTTGGTTCCAAATTTATTCTATTTATACTCTCAGTAGGAAAACAATTTTGTTTAGGAGTTAAAAGCTAGCTTTGCTAAGAGGTGGCTTCACATTCTCCACCCAGGATCTGAGGAAGAAGAGCCGTGTCTTACACTCGCATCATCATGACTAATAGAGATGGTGCAGCTGCTGACTTTATTTCACAACGCGTGATGCAGATGAAAGTACAGCTTGCTATTTCACAGCACGGTGCATTCCAGAAGGATAACAACAGCAAAATTAGCCTGTTTCAGAAGGTGATATGAAACAGGGAACGAAAGAATTAAATTAAAATCTTCCTCACAAAACGCACAGATAACTTGTGTTCGTTTTGAGGTGCACTCACAAAGAGGGGCAGACCTTCATTCTCCTAGGGGACGTTAGAAAAACCTTCTTTTTTCTAGGCTGGGTGTTGTTTCCGTGGTTGTACTGACAGGGATGAACGTTGTGCAGAGCACAACAGCTTTAGTGTCTGTGGAAAGCTCCATGCGAGACCCAGGGAGGAAAGCTGTAGCACTGAGGGAAACATTTGTGAATCCCGTCCTTCCTCAGTGTGGTATTCGTCTTCAGAGATTTGACCCGTTAGAGAAAAAAAATTAAAAATTCTTATGACTATAGCTCTGTAAAGACTGCGTGACTACAAAGCTGCAGAGACTCACCCTCGCTGCTAGGTTTAAGCGCACAAACAATCCCACTGCAGCTTAAGTGGGACTATTCACATGCTTGATGCTAAACATGTGCATTAATCTTTGCAAGATCAGGACCTGGACTGCACGCTGTGTGCTTACCAGTATACATTTAGAAAGAATCCGAGCCAACACTTGTAAAGCACTTTATAGCCCTCAGCATAGATGGCACTGTAAAACTGTAACATATTTATTATATTGTTATTGTTATTAAGAGGAAGTATCACAAAAGAGAATAAATGCTGCGCTGACAGAATTCTGTCAGGAATGCCTTCTGGCCTGCTATTTCTTGCCTGACAGTTACTGTATGCAGTTATAGCTTTTAAATTAAGATCCTGCAAATTTGTGGTCCTTTAAATTAGGTTCCTTTCTCTAGCATATTTAACAGATTTCTGTATTTTTATGTTGAAGTTTATTTTTTTGCGTTATGTTCATGTCTTTTTGCAGGACTGGAGAGAGACAAATTTGATAACAAGACTGTTTCATTTGAGGAGCATATAAAGTCAGAACACAACATGTGGCATTATTTGTACTTTATAGTTCTTGTCAAAGTTAAAGATCCAACTGAATACACCGGCCCGGAGAGCTATGTGGCACAAATGATTGTGGTGAGTCAATTTGGGCACGTGCTTTATGCAACTGAGAGATGCTCCTTGCAGCTAGAGCAGAGGATATCTTTTTTTTCCTCTCTCTCCGAACAATAGGAGGCATCGATCTGTATTTTTAAAGATCTTTTCACGTGTCTTAGACAGTCTGCAACAAAGCCTGGTCTTAAACATAATGAAAAAGATGAAGGCACAGGCCACAGTCTCTGGTTTGGCGTTCGTGCTGTCATGCTCTGTGGGCTCTGCTGCCTCATTAGCCAAACCAGGGGCAGAAGAGCATGCATCGTAACATCTGCTGCTGCTCCGGCTTTGTCCAGTATCTCTGGGCTGCTGTCCAGAAAAATAAC